GATCCGGAGGCGCTGCGGGAGGCGGATGGGGATGGGGGCCTGGCGACGGCAGGCACGGGGCAGCTGGTCACCGCGCTGGATCGGCCGGCCAGCGGGTACTTTGGCAAGCTAGATGCGCCGGGGGGCGGGAGTGGGAGTGGGAGTGCGGATGCGACGCCGCTTGCTGGGGCTGGGGCGGGGAATGGGAATGGGAATGGAGAGGTAAGGGGCGGGAATAGCACGGCGACGACGCCGCTGCTCACGGTCAACGGGGCGCAGAGGCCGCCGCTGGATACGTTCGTTACGGCGCAGGAGGACTTGCCGCAGGCGAAGTAGGGGACTCTTAGATACCTACCTACCTACCTTCCTACCTTGTATTTGGAAGTTGGGTTTCAGCGAAGGGAGAGGGGAGCGGAGATGGGGCTTGGTGATATACCCAAATTCGATTTTCCATTTGTTGAGCTTGGACTTTAGCATAGTGCGTTCTGTTCTGTTTTGTTTCTATTTGATTTGGTGGCTTGGTGGTTTGGGTTTTACTATATTATTATTATTATACCCTCGCTTGTATAGTATAAGTATACACTAATAAGAATAAGACAGAAGAAATTGAAACACTGTTATACTCAAATCGTTGGATGAGATGTTATTTGAATTTACAGTGGTATATGTTATGTATTGGTAGGTATCGTGGTACATTCGGTTGGTATGGTACAAATGGTATAAGCCTGTCCGTCGATTTGACCTGACTATAGGCTTCATGACACCGCCCCCTTTACGTCTTCATAACGAGGGCTTTGAAGTGAGATGATCAACTCCACAACCTCAAACTTAATTCAGCATGGAGCTACTTATTCATGGCTAGCATATTTCTTGCTACCCGTGCTCCTCCGTCGTATAACAGCAGCAGCAGCAGTATCTTTTTTTCTCTTCCATATGAGTAATAAGACATCCTAATCCAAGCCGTTCTCCGCCTTCCACCGGTCCAGGTACAGCTCCGGGCTCTTGGGGCCCATGGCGTAGCCCTCGTAGCGGCCTCTCGTCGGGGGCACTTTTTGCGTTACGAAAGGTGTTAACTGTGTCATTATTCTCACATTAGCCCCCAGTCCTTAGTGCCAATCTCAATATACGCCCATCTCATCCCGTCCCATCTTACTCCACACATGGAATGCCCAACCCATTAGAGAAGAATATAGGAATTACCTTGAACGTATCCAACCCTGCCGGCACGACGTACGTCCGCACCTTGTCCCAGTTGATGATGTAGCCGCCGAACTTGGTGTGCTGGCCGACGCTGCCGGTCCGCGTGCCCTTGTAGAAGCCCTTCTTGATGTCCTTGGTGGTCAGCGGCAGCTTGCGGAAGCGCTTCAGGAGCGCTTGCGTGGGCTGCATCGCGGTAGTTTCGCTTCTTCTCTTCGCAAGTTTGGGCCGGGATACGTAGATGCAGCTCGTCGAATGGGTAGATGTATGGGTCTCTCAATCGAGCTGAGCAGTGCTTGAGGTCGAGCAGGTGCTGTTCAATTGATGTCGCGATATTGAAAATCGGCAATAGAGTGGGTCGTATTCCTTATCGATAAACAACTTTACAGGGGGTTGAAGAGTTAAAGGTCTTTCCCCCACTACCCGACGGCAGAAAAAGTCTGGACACCGCCTTAATTTTTGAGAATTCCGTAATTCTAACTTCTGAATTGAGTTTTAGCAGAGAAAGAATCAAGAAGGTTGAACGTTTGACTTTTAAGAAGAAATTCTTTTCACAAATCTCCATTTCTACCAATTTGCGAATAACAAAAGAAAATCCCCGCATATCCCACATCCCACATCCCACTCAACATGCCCGGCCGACAAGCCCACGGACGCCCCGTCGGCGGCGGCGGCGGCAGTGCCAGCACCAAGAGCAAGAAGCGCTCGAAATCCAGATCTACCAAGAAAGCCATGGACGCCTTCGCCATCGCCTCCGAAGAGTACGCCGACCGCCAGAAGCGCACCCCGCGCAACCGCGAGCTAGACGTCCCAAAAGCTAGCGGCTACGGCGGCGGCAAGCACGCGCGGGACGAGGATGACGAAGACGAGGATGACGAGGATGAGGAAGAGGACAGTGCGCCACCGAGGAAGATGCGACGCGGCGCTGATCGCGACATGGATGTGGAGTACGGCAGCGACAGCAGCGGGAACGAGTGGCGAGTTGGCGTCGACGAGGACGACGATTCGGAGATTGACAGCGACGAAGCTTTTGGCGAGAGCGACGAGGAGAGGTTTGAGGATTATGCCTTTCGTGGGAGCACCAAGAAGAAGAGTAAAAGCAAGAGCAAGAGCAAGAGCAAGAGCAAAAGCAAAGAGGTAATGACTGGTGACTTAGGAGACCTACGTTCGTCGTGGCTAATGCGACTTAATAGGATGATGATGATAACGACGAAGACGACGACGAGGACGAGGATATAGACGATGCGGATGATGCTTCTCTCGGGTCGGATGCTATCGATCTTGCCGCCGCTTTGGACATGTCTATGTCGAACGACGATGATGTACCCGACCAACAGGGCTCTGGTTCTGACGAGGATGGATCCGATGCTGGAGGGAGTGATTCTGGCCAAGAGTCCTCCGATGTCGAGGGCGACGAGGATGACGACGTATCAGACTCTGGCATCAATGCATGGGTTTCGCAGTTCTCCGGCGTCAAAGAGAAGGACGAAGATGCTGCACCAACCACGAAGCCCAAACTCGGGCTCAAAGATCTAGGACTCCTAGCAGTAAAGGATCCTCAGCTGAAGAAATCCCTCAAGCTTATGACAAAAGAAGAGAAATCCAGCAAGCCACAGAAACTTGACGTACCGCTTGCAAGACGCCAACAAGCGCAGCTAGATCGCACTGCCGCCTACGAAAAGACAAACGAATCTGTTGATCGATGGGCCGAGACTGTGAAGCAGAACAGAAGAGCGGACCATCTGGTGTTCCCGCTGCCGCAGACGGAGACAGGTCTTGTCCGGCACGACAACAGCGAAATACAGCCTTTAAATCACAAGACACCAGGAACCGAGTTGGAACGAACCATCCTGGCAATTATGGAAGAAAGTGGTCTAGGACCAAGTGCCAAGAAAGAGGTCAAAGACACGGACGACCTAGAGTCTGTAGATGCTCAAGGCATCTCACGGGACGATCGCAAGGCCCTGTGGCAGCAGAAGCGTCAGGAGAGGGAGCTCAAGTCTCGAGAAGATGCTAGAGCCAAGCGCATCAAGAAGATCAAGAGCAAAGCCTACCACCGGGTGCACCGGAGACAGAGAGAACGCGATGAGATTAAAGAACGCGAAGCTATGACTGCAGCTGGCGAGATCGACTCCGAAGACGAGCGCGAAACCCAGGATCGCCAGCGAGCTATGGAGAGAATGGGCGCCCGACATAAGGAAAGCAAATGGGCCAAAATGAAGAACAAGGATGGCCGCGCAGCATGGGATGACGATGTCCGAGTAGGTGTAGCGGAAATGGCACGACGAGACGAGGAGTTGCGCCGCCGTATAGAAGGGAAACCGTCCGGAGGAAACAACGACTCGGACGAAGACTCGGACTATTCAGGTGACTCGGAAGATGTCGACGAGCAAAAGAGACTTCTCAAGCAACTGAAAGAAGTGTCCGCGGGCGACGACGCAGAGCCAACGTCGAAACTTCTGAACATGCAGTTCATGAAGAAGGCCGAAGCCGCCAAAAAGAAAGCCAACGACGACCTAGTCGACCAGATTCGACGAGAGCTAGCTTCCGACGATGAAGACGGCATGCTATCTGACGACGGACCCGAGGATATCGGTCGACGAAAATATGGCCAGCCGGCAGTAAATAAGCCGGGAAAGTCGAGCGACGGATGGGTCACGGTTGGCGCCGACGGCAAGCTGAAGAAGGGAGACCAGCAAGCTGTCTTAGACAGACTCGAGTCTAGACGGGTTGCTGATCTGAGAGACAATAATGCTCGACCGGGGCAATCCTCGAGAGACGTAGTCACAAATTCATTAGCGGGTGCTTGGAGTCAGTCCTCGATGGCTGGACCTGCTAGGAAACAAAGAGGCAAGAATGCGGCATCTGCATCCAACGCAGATGTCCTGGAACTCGGCGACGACGCCGTGGCTGTAGCCCCCGCTGCTGCCCCATCCAAAAAACCCAAGTCCAAGCCCAGCAAAAAACAAGCCACCGCCACCCTCAACGCCGACACCTCCTCAGACGACGAAGACAGCCACCTACCCATACAATTCCGCGAACAAGACCTGATCGAGAAAGCCTTCGGGGGCATGGACGTGGTGGCCGAGTTCGAGGCGGAAAAGCGCGCCATCGCCGAGGACGACGACGACAAGGTGGTCGACAACACGCTGCCGGGGTGGGGCAGCTGGGTCGGCGACGGGGTCAGCGCCCGCGATAAGAAGAGACACGCGGGGCGCTTTCTGGAGAAGAAGGAGGGCGTCAAGAGGGGCGACCGGAAGGACGCGAAGCTCAAGGGCGTTATTGTGAACGAGAAGAGGATTAAGAAGGTATGCCATCCCCATCCCATATTCCCTATAGTAGGACCATATATCGGTTTTATTAGGGCTGCTGCTAACGCGCGACGACAGAACGACAAGTACATGGCCTCCCAGCTGCCGCACCCCTTCGAGTCCCGGCTGCAGTACGAGCGCGCCCTGCGCCTGCCCGTCGGCCCCGAGTGGATGACCAAGGAGACCTTCCAGGACGCCACCAAGCCCAAGCTGCTGATCAAGCAGGGCATCATCGCGCCCATTGCGAAGCCTACGAACTGAGCTGGGGCGTGTTGTATGACTGAGGTGGCCAGGATTGGAGGCTAGGGTATATACCCAGGTAGAAAAATGATAGTGGCGAATGATAGTGGAGAATGGCAGAAAATAAAAATAGGAGATTCCCCCATCTTCGTGTCCAACCCTTGTGCATGCACTCGCAATAACACGGAGCTACTTACTTGGAGAGTAGACTTGTACTGTGACGGATACAACGCTACCTAAACAAATCAAGGAAGAAAAGAAATAAAAACAACACGATGCCGACAGGATTCGAACCTGCGCTCCCGGAGGAATGAGATTTAGAATGGGGCGATCCTAGTCTCACGCAACAATCAATTCTGCCACGGCACTCTGGCTCGTGTACTGGCTCTGAACGCATCCAGTTGTGTTCCGATAACTGGTAAAACGGCTGATATGGCTTTGCTGAGTGGCCCCAATCTTCATCGTTGCATGATAGATTGCTGTAGGGGGGGGTGATAGAAAGGACGTGGCAGCTAGGCATCCAAGTATACCTACATATTGGTACAGGCAGTCTTGTGTCGTGCTTCTCCAGCTTATACCCTCGCCCAGCGTCTATAGGAAGACGGGTGCTATACATTACCATGCCACTATCTGGAAAGTGCATCGCGTGGCATCCTAGAGGGTTCCAACAGCACTCACTCATCACTCGAGCAAGCAAGCTCTTCATACAACCACAGCCAGCCGGCAGTAGCAGAGCAGGCAGGCAAACATTTATTCACACCTGAAGCAAAACAGCACAGCACAGCAGATAATTAGGTAGGTAGGTAGGCAGTTAGAAAAGCAGATTACTTTTGTCTTCCCCTTATGTACATCAATGTTACAAGACAAGCCAGCCAAGGCACAGCAACTCCTCCATCAGAAGCTACAGCTAGCTACCTACGCAAGCAAAAATCCGTCCTGGGTCCATCGTCTCCAACACCGTCGGATAACAGCACGAGCTCATGCCATTATAGTCTTCCACTAGCCACTACTCAGTTACCGGTGATAGGGGCCATGCTCGTCAAGAACATTTGTTGCCTCTCCAGCCAAACCAGGATCATCCGGGTGGTGATTTTGCTCTGGATGGCGCGTAGTATGCAGATTTTCATGGCCGATCATCAAGTTCTGGAGGAGACGACGAAGAACGCGATGGTCTGCGGCGCAGGTATGGCTCCAACCACCAACACACGAACTGGATTCCATCCGTGCTATGGATTAGAAAGTGTGGTGTACCGTTCCGTAGTTACGAACCCGACCATCGTCTGTCAGGACATGGACCAAAACTGGTATTAATTAATGTCCATCCCCCGAGGGCCCTTGAACCAGACGCCGACCCCGCGAGTCGGCCGTGGATCTATGACAGGCACAGGACAGGTGCGTCGTTGAAGTTAGGAGCGGAGACCAGCGGGTGTCCGGCGTGTGACTAGCATCTGAGACGATAGAAGGTTGACTCGCAATGCATTTCATGCAAACTGCAAGTTGCCGCTCCACGTTGAACGCTCAGACAGGCATTTTTTTGCTATTGAGCATTCATGTCGCAAAGAGTGAGGGATTCCTAATTGGCATGAAGGTCGGTATTGTTTTTCCCTCCAAAGTATCAGGGGTGATTCCAAGGAAGTTGGGTAACAAGGGTAGGTAGAGAAGATCGAGGAGTTGCGAGACAGTGCATTCGCTCGTGTAGGCACTTTTGGAGTTGGTGTGGTTGTTGTTACCGAGACTTTGGAAGTTTTGAGAAACTTGTAGTATGCCCTCCCTCACTTCTTCGACGCGATCTTGTTGCAGTTGGGTCAATGCTGTATGAAACAACCTCCCATGATAGGACTCCCAATGATTCTTGACCAGCCACGTCACTGACGCAGACGAGCTGCGTATAACAAGGACCGATCTAGACCTTCGATTGGTGTTTCAGATCTAGGACATTTGTAAAGGAATTGCGAATCCGAGCAGTGGTGCGGACTGAAAAAGGGTGGGAATCGCAACTATATTAAGATTGGCTGCTGTTGTATCTGCTACCCCCGGCGACCATGCGTGGATTATATTGTTTAATAGGTTTGTATGCTGAGCGACCGCTGAGTTGGGTTGATATTCACAGCGTCGTCGAAGGAGAGCGTTCAACATAAGCTTCCTATAGATCATGGCACTAATAGTTCTCTGCGGGGAGACACTTCCATCACCTAAGACATCGCATAGCAGAGTCCTTCCTTGCCCCTAACCTTATGATCTGGGCTTCCGACAGGTCATCCGGTTAGTCGAATACCGTGGATATCCATTAATTATGGTCTGATCTCTAACTGAAGGCACATGTGTCGGCTATGAATCGTAAAAGAAGCCCCCTCGAGTATGACAGCTCGAAGATTGGTACGATCGACGTAAGGTCTTCGAAGCTCGAACATCATGCCATGTATCTACCTAGTTCGTCTTCTGCTTTCCAGACTGCGCTGCATACGCATCCTTTTCCGACGGTATTCATTCGTGAGGTGAACGACATAGCCGGTAGGAAGTATCCTAGGTAGTTTGTTATGCACCTCATATATTTTGGTCTTAGGTTTCTTCTGTCTGCCGTGTTTAGGAGGGTAATCGGGTTGGAGCAGATCCATTATGTCGAGTACAGAACTTCGGCTCAAATTGAGACCAACTATATTTTTCCTTGAACATCTTCTTGTTCAGCCTTGCTGTACCGGTAGTCGTTAGCCATCTGCCTACGTGATATCCGCGAGTGATTCGTTGTCGGATTTTTTTATACCAGTGGCCCTAGGCCAGGTTTGGATGAAAATTTTTAGGAGAGGGTGGAATCCGAATCATCCAACCTCCAAAAAGTATCTCAAAGCCAGTAATGGTGGTGTTATTTGCAAATGCACCTATTTATCATAGGCCAATGCGGTCCAGTCGCGACGCGTTCCTTATGATTTAGGCCACGTCGTCAATTAACCTTGCAAAAGGGATCAAATCTTTCGCAATTGTTGTTTTTTCGTGTCTTCTTTTAGTCGGAATGGTATCATCGTCGCGAGCTGAATTCCGTTTCCTCCAAGCATTCGACGTATAAGACAAGTGAAGTGCTAGTCCGATCCAAGGCTGAGGCAAGTCAGCATGGCAAATTCCATGATGGATCAGAGTACTGCATGTAGGAAAAATCCTCGGGGGACGAAGGTTTTGATGGGTTGATGGTGGCTGTTGTACAATTGGGGTATCAATAAAGTCTAGAGTAGTGTGAGAAGCCGTATCCGTAGTTATGCAGGTCGATGAGGCTTTACAAGCCGTTGTGGTTGTTGTTAGTCTCTACGACATTGTCGGAGAGATTGATCAACAGCTGGGCCAGACAACGCTTAGTTGCCGCGTCGTCACGGAGCACCGAGCTGAAGGTTGCGTCGCGCAGCGGCTCAGGGAGACATTGTCTCAAAGCTTCCCTGGCTCGTGCGTTATCGCTGAGGCGCAGGAAGCAACGGACAACGTGCTTAAGTAGGCGTGCCGTCTGCTGCTCAACGAGCTGGGCGACCATGTTGCTGAGTACAGTCCCGACGGCATAGAACCGCTCATAAGTAGCGCAGATGTAGTTGAGACCATTGTCGTCGAGAAGGATCTTCTGGACGATGAAGATGGCCACCGTCTTACTAAGCTCGGATCCCGTCTCCATTATCCTTAGACAGAGAGGGATGATCTCGGTGGTGAGGAGGAAGTTGATCACTTCGCTCGAGTCGTTCTTCACCAATGCACCAATCACTCCAAGCGACGTCAGACGTAGGTACTCGAACGGTCGTGACTTGGACGTAGTGTTCAAGAAGGGGTACAGAAAGAGAGGAATGTGAGCTATATTCGTCGTGTTAGTATTATAGGTAGTTAAGGGAGATATATAAGATGTAGATATAGGTCAAACAACGTACCATTCAGGAACAGAGTTCTCGTCTCGTTGTGCGATGCCACACATTGTAGAAGGGCGAGAGCATTGCAGACTCTGTTAGAGGCGGCGGCAGTAAGTTGAGAGGGATTGAGGAGGTTGTAGACGGAGATAATCTCCTGCATGAGAGAAGTCATGACACCGAAAGAGTGCCACAATATGAGGGCTAGCTCGGGTACCTGCTCGCGCTTCTTGCTCAGCTCGAGAAGAGCGGCTTCTCGGGTGTTCTCACTAAGCAAGTCGGCGACGAAGTTCAAGGTTCGGCGGTTCTCCTCGGTCACGGGCTCCCCACCATTCTCCTGGACGTGACTAGCCATGGAGGCGCCAATGTTGTTGTTCACATTGTTGTGGGCCACATTCAACTGGTTGTAATGTTGTTGGCGCGCAGCTGCAGCAGCGACGGCAGCAGCCTGTTGAGCTTGGTGCTGTCCGTGGTTCGGCTGCTGATGTATCCAGGGCTGGTCGGCGTGTGGGTTGTATTGGTGATGACCGTTGAGGGTCTGGTACGGCAACATGGTGGCGTCGTAAGAAGGCGATGCCGCCTTTACCAGAATGAAATTCGGAGACGAATGGATTGTAGATGGAAAGGGTAATATTTTCAATGCGGTAAGAAGCAAGTGACTTGTAAGTTGCTTGCCTCGCCGTGTTCACTAGGGAGACGAAGGTAGATCGATTTCCGTGGAAAATGAACACTTTTTAGAGGCTGCGGATGAAACACCGAGATGCGTAACCCGGACTGGCTGGGCAACGTTATTGAAGTTGCTTCGGATATGTTTGGCTTTCCTCCTTCTTATCAAACTTGTTCGCGATCGATTCACCTCTCCACGTGGTCTCTACGTTCAAGGCGACGGGCGCAGCAGTAATTATCGTGTCGGCGTTTGCGGATTTGTGGAATCGGAATAAGAAGGCCGCGCAACGTATTTATAATAGACTAGCTTGGTAAGCCAGGAACAGGAAAAAGAGTAGAAACGTGAAGTTGGAAGGTCTACGCGGTAGGTGTGAAATCGGTCAAGTAGTAATAAGGTTAGGTATTGTATCGTTCAAAACTTGAAGTGGTAAAAGTGTAAAGTTGGGTATTGGGTCTGGTCGTCTGGGTCTGGGTCCGTACCTTCGCGAAGCCTGTCGCATTTTAATTTGCCGACTGGAATGAGCCCATGGGGGCCTTGGGTAACCAGCACCGACCACATTCTCCCGATTGCGTTATCTATTGCAGCTAACCCTAGCTGCCCTAGTGCCTAAGGCAGATGCGCCGTAAGCGGGGTGAAGCACGAGCCACCAAGGCTTAGTACCTTCTATAAGTACCTAGGTACCTACACGATGAACCCCAACCCACCGTATCATGTAGAAATCATATTCATCTTGGAAGCATACTCTCTCTCCGAGTGCAAATAAGTCTGAAAAAACCTACTACCAAATCTTACAAGAAAACAACTAAATTCAACTAGCATTTGGTGGTGTG